AGAGACGGCTCAGAGGTTAAGAGCACTGACTGCTCTTCCAGAGGTCCTGAGTTCAATTCCCAGCAACCACACGGTGGCTCACAACCATCCCTTATGAGATCTGGCGCCCTCTTCTGGCCTAAAGGAACACACATAATAAATAAACAAATCTATTTTTAAAAAGGAAGGAAGAAAGGAAGAGAGGGAGGGAGGGAGTGAGGGCTCAGCAGTGAAATGCACTCAATGCTCTTCTACAAGACAGAATTCTGTTCCTAGCTTCACAACCTCCTGTAACTCCAGGGAATCCACACCCTTCTCTAGCCTCAGAGAGCACACACACACACAGACACACACACACACAGACACACACACACACAGACACACACACACACAGACACACACACACACAGACACACACACACACACACACACACACATACACAGAGACAGACACACAGAGACACACACACACAGACACACAGAGACACACACACAGAGACACACACACACAGAGACACACACACACAGAGACACACACACACAGAGACACACACACACAGAGACACACACACACAGAGACACACACACACAGAGACACACACACACAGAGACACACACACACAGAGACACACACACACAGAGACACACACACACAGAGACACACACACACAGAGACACACACACACAGAGACACACACACAGAGAGACACATACACACACACAGAGACACACAGACACACACACACACACACAAATAAATCTTTTAAAAGTAGCAGTCGTAATTTAAAAAGTAGTAGTAGTAACTAACAGCAGTAGCAGCAATAGTAGTTAACGGTGGCAGTGGCTGGGCCAACACTGCCCAGAACACGTGAGGCCTCGGGTTCCATCGCCACTGTGTCAACTAGATAGATGAATGAATAACCTTCCACAGGAACTACAGAATCTGCCCAGTCACACAGACATGAGCAAAGCGGACACGGGATGGGACTGCCTCTGAGCTGATAGTTGTTGCTCTGTAAGACTTCACCACAAAACACGGCATTTCTCCACAAAACCAAGGCAGGTGATCATTAGTGGTTCTAAAGCACTTTATATCTGGTGATCTACAAACAACTGATCATTTCATTCAAGAAGGAAAACTGCTCTAACCACAAAGTCAACATAGTTGAGATTTACTCTAAAACAACAGAGGTTTAAAAAACAAATATGTTAAATGGTCACTTTAAGGGATAGGATTTATTTTCTTTAAATTGGGGGTTAGAGAAATGGATGAGTGGTTGAGAATGACTGGTCTTACAGAGGATTCAGGTCTGGTCCCCAGCATAAAATCTGGCAGCTCCAGATTTTGAGGGACTCTGATATCATCTGGCTTCCAAGGGCACCGGTGTTCACATGGTGCACATAAACACACACATCCAGACACACTTACATATGAATAAAAAAACTTTACAACTTAGAGGGTTCACTGTGTTTTAGTTTTGTGTTTTTTAAGGTGAGAGAAAAATAAAAGCCTGTTTTTTCTGTTTGAGCTTCTTTCTTTCTTTTTTCTTGTTTTGTTTTGTTTGTTTTTTGGCTCTTCAAGATAAAGAGTTTCTCTGTGTAGCTTTAGAGCCTGGAACTTGCTCTGTAGACCAGGCTGGCCTTGAACTCACAGAGATCCACCTGCCTCTGCCTTCCAAGTGCTGGGATTAAAGGTGTGCGCCACCGCTGCCGCCGCTGCCGCCGCTGGCACCACTGCCGCCGCCACCACCCAGCTGTTTTGTTTTAAGCACTTACTACATCAACAGAAGAAAAGTAAATGAGATAGACGATAATCACCACATACTCACTGTAACACAAAGAATGCTTATTTACTAACAGCAACAAAAAAAGACACAAGTATTCCTTGGTCCTGCTGCGGACAGACCTAGTCATCACTCTGATTTCCTAGTGACTGAAGGACTTACATTACTCTGTATTTTAAATGAGTGTTTATTCTTTTTACAAAGCTCAGAACTTGCTACTATTGAGCAAAGCACTGGAACTTACCAAGAAACACTGCAAACCAAACATCACAACACAAATCTTCAAAAGAACTGGTCGTGACAGCACAAGCCTGACATCGCACCCCTTGGGAAACATAGGCAGTTCAAGTTCAAGGCCAGCCTGGGGGACACAAGAGGCCATCACAGAATCTTGGAGAGAGCTATGTCTACAAATATCAAACTATAATATCAGCAAAGACTGATAATGCCGGTCTCTGGGGGTGGGGGGACAGTCTCACTGTGTAGCCTGGGCTGACCTTAAGCTCATGATTCTCCTGCCTTAGTCTCTTGCTTGCAGGGTCACAGATGTGTACGACCACATCTGGGAAAGCTGGCTCTTAAAATTCTGAAATGTTTGCTCAGATAAAATCAAGCTCTCATTTATAGACTAAGCTGGTCTTCACTGGGGCTGAAGAGGAGGCTCTGTCTGCCCTATGGATAATTATCTGATATCCCTGTCCCAAGCGACTGACCTCTCCTATCAGAATTCTACCTTCCTTCATATAGCTGCTCTTAAGCTCAGAATCCTCCTCCCTCACCTCCTAAGTAGGGAACTATTTACTCACATTTGCTAGTTTATTTGCCCGGCTGTCACAAAGGACACAGGTAAGAGGCTCACAGAACAAAGCACTTAGCCAGAGGCATGCCACCCTCTGGAAAGCTCTCTTGGCACGTGTGGAGGCCTCATTACTCAGGGAGGACATGAAACCCCAGCCACTGAGGACCACTCACCGGATCCCTAACCTAACCCCTGAAGTTTTCCAGGGCTTGCCAGCCATCTGTGACCTCATCATATACAAAAATGTACTTACTAGTTCAGAGGCTCCACTCATTTCAGGGCTTACTGCCAAGATGGAAGAAAATCAAATAGGTATTTCACAACTATCCCATCAAAACATTTCAAGCCAGGCTTGGTGGCATTGCACGTGTAACCCGGCACCTTAAAACTGAGGCCAGAGCACAGGCAGTTCTAGGCCACCCTGAGCACAGGAAGACACTGTCTGAGAAAGAGAAAAAATAGTTTGAAAATTTGCAAAACAAGTTGAACTGGTACAAACTTATTATTGTGTCCTTTAGAAAACTACTTAAGAGGCTAGAAAGACGGCTCAGCAGTTAAGAAAACTGACTGCTCTTCCAGAGGACTTGGGCTCCACTCCCAGAAACCACATGGAAGCTCACAACTGTCTCTAACTCAAGTTCCAGGGGATCTAACATCCTCTTCTGACCTCCACAGGTACCGGGCATGCCATGGTGTATATTATACACATACAGGCAGGCAAGACATTTACATACCTAAACTAAAAGTAAAGCTACTCAGTAGTATATGTCAAAATACAATTTAGAAATTACTTTTCTTACTATGAAGGAAGATTATGTAAATTTAGATACATTTCAAATTTGAAATAATCTCTGACCAGACCTGGTATCACAAGTCTTTAACTGGGGAGAAAGATCAAGAGTGTAGGCTGGGGAGCAGACAAGATGGCTCAGCGGTTAAGAGCACTGGCTGCTCTTCTAGAGGACCCGGGTTCAGTTCCCAGCACCACATGGCAGCTCACAACTGTCTGTAACTCCAGTTCCAGGGCACCCAACACCCTCACACAGACATATATGCAGGAAAAACATTAATGTACATAAAATAAAAATAAATTATTTAAGTGAGAGAGGGAGAGAACACACAGGCTGCTCTTCCAGAGGTCCTGAGTTCAATTCCCAGCAACCACATGGTGGCTCACAGCCATCTGTTATGGGATCTGGTGCCCTCTGCTGGCCTGCAGGGATACATGCAGGCAGAACATTTTGTATATAATAAATAAGTCTAAAAAAAAAAAAAAAAAAAAAAAAGATTAGGGGCAAAAAAAACACCCCCGAGAGAGAATTTAAGAGTAATCTGGGAAAAAATCTCAAAAACAAAAAATCAAACAAACAAAAATGTAAGGTACCCATGAATGACTTTTACTAATTGATAATTATGGTGTATTTCTCCTCCAAGCCGGGAATGCGGCCTCTAATTATCTATACCCTGCAAGCCCTGTCATCTGTCAAGACCAGCAAGTCAGAGACAAAGCTAGGAGCCTGTTTTCCCCATATACATTTCTTTTTTTTTTTTTAACCATTTTTTAAATTTAAATTAGAAACAAGCCTGCTTCACATGTCAACCCCAGCTCCCTCGCCCTCCCCTCCTTTCCCACCCTCCACTAAGGTAAGGCCCTCCCCTGGGGGATCCCGAAAATCTGCCATATCATCCAGGATGGGGGAGGGCAGGCCTAGGCTGAGAGAGCATCCCTCCATACGTAATGGGCTCCCAAAGTCCATTCGTACACCAGGGATAAAAACTGATCTGCGACCACAGGCCCCACAGATTGTCGAGGCCCCCTCACTGACACCCGAGTTCAGGGGGTCTGGATCAGTCCCATGCTGGCCTCCCAGCCATCAGTCT